GCAGCCAAGGGATACCAAGAAGTTTGTGCGACGGTGGTCAAGTGGGTGTGTATGTAGCTGGGCTTTAGCTAGAGGGTAGTCAGATACTGTGACTGCGCCCGCTTCGTCAGTACTGGAGAGGGTTCATGCACCGCCCGCCTGCATCGTCGGTCTTGGGCTGCCAGGGCTAAGGATCGGAGGCTGGTCATCCAAACAGGGTGGCGAGAAGAACCCAATGATGCAACCCATCTTCTCACCTGGGCCGGACTCCTTTAATGCGCACCGATCTTTTCCTGTTTTCACGACGTCGTGTCGGCCGGCTGTGCTCCGTCAGAGGGGCTCGCATCATGAGTTGGGTTCGGAAGCAAAAGGTGAGTGGAATTGACTGCCCAGGCAGGTCATGCTGGCCGCTCAGCCACGCTTCGCCCTATGCAGCCATAAACACTCACCGGTAAATGATGCGTTTTCCCCAGAGCATTGGCATTTACTACCGCCGCCTCACTGGCCCGGCGTCTGCCTGCTTAGGCCAGTTGGTAATGCCATTGCGGCTCCTTTTTGTGCTGCGCTCTTCTGTGCCCCCTACATAACGATGGTCTCCATCTGCTCCTCCGGCGGTGAACATACGGTGTGAACATGTCAGCGCCCTCAACAATCCCCGACATTGCCACCCCTACCACTGCAACCATCGCCTCTTCTGCTCAATCTTCCCCAACTAGCGCAGCCTTCAAGGTCGTCTGTGCCTGGCCCATATCTTCCAACTACGGCGCCGGGTCGCGTGTCAGTAACCCACCCCCACCTGCCTGTCAACATACCTTCCCGCCCAGCCAACAACTGACGCCCGCATCCAGATCCTATACTATGTCCTCGTTGCCGCATGTGTGACATTTCGCAAAGCTGAATGGTTACGGAACACGTGCTTGGCTGCCGTCTTGATCCTCCCCGCCATCTCGGCAATCCAAGGCATCGTGCTCGCAGCTGCACACCAGAATGGTCAGTACTGCAACTCCCAAGAACCCCCAAGAGCCACGGCGATGCCTGTTCTGACATGTGACGTAACCAGGAGGAATTGATTTGGACATCTTTGGTGCCTTTCAAGTGTGCGCAATTGGCATCTTGGCCGCTCCGCTCACGGTGCGACTGTCGCGCACCTACTTTTACACGCCGGGAAGGAACATTATTTTTTTGTGGACCATTCTAATCCTCATGGGCCTATTGGCCCTGTGCGTTGAGTTCTACCGTGTGACGCCGACCGACTGCAACATTCCCATCGACGCAAACTCTCCCCGAGGAACTGCCGCTTTTTTGAAACTGCAGCCCAATTGCAATTTGACCTGCTCTGAAACACAAGGCCCAAGGTCGCCGCTGCGAGGCGGAGCTGCAGCCGATGTCTATGTTGTTCCTGTGCCACGGATCCTGACCTTTAATGCCGGTATGCTCTTGGCAGCAGGGTTCTGTATACCAGCCATCCTGTCCTTGATCTTCACATGGGACAAGGTCCTGGAAACCAATTGGAAGAGACGTCGTCATGTCGAAGAGCTCAATGCCCGCATTGAAGGCGCCAACATGACAGTCGGAGAGATGAGAAATATCAACGACCTTGTGCGATCCTTTCTGACCGTCATTGAGATCCCGCTCTTTGGTGGCGTTATACTGACCATTATCGGCATCGGCGAAGCAAACTTCTTCAGCCCTCAGTTGATGTACATGACCGAACCCATGGGGTCTTTTGGTAAGTGGCACTACCTGGCACTAAGTAGCCTGACAGCCTTATCTAACATTCTATGCAGGGCAGTGGTCACCTATAGCTGGTACAATCCTCGGTGCCTTTGGATCTTTATATCTACTATGGTCAACCAGCGGCAAAGAGACTACCGAACAGAAGCACATACCACAATGCGAGCATTCGTGCTCTTCACGTCACAGTCATAGCAGCGAACAATGTCCAACTCCACTGCCACAGAGGAACTCCAATTCAAATTCAAACCTCCCAGTCAATGCTCTGGGTATACGCTCAGAGTCGCCCAATGATATTTCATTAATCCCAACAATTACGCATCCAGGGGACGATGGCGATCAAATACGCGGAATCCTTCCGGAGGACCGTCAGGATACTCAGCCAGATGATCACCCGACAGCCGGTAGACACAAAGTCCGTAGATGGCTGACCTCTGCCGGTAACTATCTTGGCGACGCTGCACACGAAAAGCTTGACTTGGAGCAAAACAGCACCAACGAGGCGACACGATCGTTCCCAGAGGTACCCGGAGAAATATGGCGTAACCCAAACCTCGAGACCACTAGTCGCAATTATGATCTGATGCGGGAAAGAGCCAGCAGCACATATGCGGCAAGCATTCGGTCTACATCAGATATCGGACCCAGCTCACCACCACCCGTACCAGAAACGCCGCGACTGGATTCTAGTTCCGCCCGAGCACCAAAACGACGAGACACTTTAGAAGTACCAAAGGAAACCCATAGAAGAAGCGAGAGTCAGAGCTCGGGAAGGTGATCAATATTTACGGCCTATGTGTTTGACTACTTATGTACATGAAGTATGCTATTCATATCGCAAGAGAATACGACCTTTACAATCCGAACCAGGCCTCAGTCTGGGCTTGGTGAGCTGGGACACCGTGTCCGACGCCGACTGCCCAGATACCCTGAACGTTGGAACCGAAATCATCGGTGCGGTAGTTGGTCTGGGGGGTGTTGGCCCGCGACCTTGTAGGCGTAGTGCTGACTCCAAACACGTTGGTCCATTGCTTGAGGGTCTCGTTGTAGTTGGGTGGGAGGATGGTGGCATCAACAGAGCCGTGCCAGAATTCTACGCAAAAGTCAGCAACCGTAACACCTCGGGGAAGCACAAATCCACTTACGAACGCGGGGACGCGATCCACTGTAGCCAGGATCCATTGCGCGCGCAATATCACCCCACTGCTGCGCAGTCTTGATGGAGCGTCCTTGAGCACAATCACTGTTCCACGCCGCCACCGCTCCAGAAGCCGACACAAAGCATCCAGCGGCGACACCAGAGTACACCGAAGTCGCAGCAATAAGATCGGGATATGTCGCGGCCAAGACATTCGTCATCATCGCACCGGACGACTCTCCCACCACGTAAACCTTCTTGGGGTTGATGTTGTACTGCTTAGTCGCATACGCAATCATGTCTGCAATAGCGTTCGACTCGCCGCCACCACCACGCGACAGCGACGCCTTGCTCGATACATCCCAGCACGACGCCGTCGCGCTCGGAAACACGGTAATGTAGCCCTTGGAATCCGAGCCCTTCTTCCAGGGTGCCCAGCCAAAGTAGCTCTGGCCGGTAGATCCGCAGGGATGGATGGCTACAACGAGCGCATCGGTCTTGACCTGGTCAGGCTTGTAGACGTACCTGTATTACAATGTTAATGAATCCGCAAGATAAGAAATGGGGTGGTAGGATGAGAGAGGTAGTTGGTAGTTGGTATACTTACATTCCCGGTCTCGCCTTCGCCGAACCCCCATAGTTTGAGACTTGAGTTAACTGCGCAGCGAAAGCCGCTGAACCGCAAGCCAAGAGCGAAATAAGAAACTTCATCTTGTGAACTCAAGCTTCTCTTTAAAATATATACAATTATCAAACAAAAACGTCTCTTCGTAGTCCCGTTGGGCGTCTTTAAGGTCACACAAGAGAAAAAAAAAACAGACAAGCAAAAAAGACAAAAGCTTCGCGAAAGCCTTATATACATCCGTCCGTTCAATTTACTTTACCCCGTATTTCCCACCCCACACCCTCTCCTCAATCCCGTGAAAAAAGCATGCTCCACACCCGTTTGAATCTCTCCACAAAACGAAACCAAAACAAAGTGACCCGGCCCGATTCCAGCCCCGTCATTCGTGGGATTCCGTTGCGCGCACGTCACCCACCCCTTTACAAATAACCACATATGTCAAGTATTTCAACCGAGTTTATTTTACATTGGGGGGGGGGGGTGGTTACCCGCACGTGAGATAGAAGTATACGTGAAACCTGCGTCGCCCACCCCCCCGCCTCTGAAGGAAGGAAGGGGGGGTTCAAAATAAGCACTATAGAAATCAAGTTTGTACTTGTATATATTAAATAACTGTTTTGAACGGGGGTTGGGTTGGTTGGTGGTAAGAGTATGTGCGTGGAGATAAGGTTAGTAGAGTGCTTATTCCGCGTGTTTTGGCGGTTGAATGTCGATGGGAAACGTCGCAACACCGGGGGTATGTGTGTGTGTGTGCAGTGGTGTTTTGACGGTTTCACCGCTTTCAAGGGTTGTTTTTTTTTTGCTTCGGCAAGTAGGTAGGTTGGATTACGAAGAGGGTATGGATGGGCGGCGAGTGGAGAGTGTACTTAAGCGGTGGCAGTACTGCGGATATTACGGTTCCTGTTCTTGGGTTAGGGTGCGGGCTTGGCGGGTGGGTTTGCTGTGTAGTCTAGATTGAGATGGTGAGGGAATGAAGCGTCTGGGTTTTTGTTTGGTGATGATGGGGATGGGGTGGTTATGTGGTGAGTTGCGTTGCTATGTAAGAGGGTGAATAAAATAGAGGTTTGGGCTGGAGATGGAGGGCTCTATGTCGCTGTACGTAGATGGAGAATGGATGTCGTTTTTGCCTAAAAGGAAGAAAACGTTGTAATGCATTTCGTACTAGATGATGCTTTATCTCAGTGTAGATGCGCTAATACTTTCTAGCGTCCGTTGTTATGGCCGCTAGACGTATATTCTCCGCACATGACGCCGCTTCCATCGCTTTCTAGATGGAGCACAGATTGTTTCCCCATATTGAGTTTAGCAGACGGACGACGGCGCTGAATCGAACAAGAGAGTTTGGAGGAGAAGAAGTGGGGTTCATCCGGGGAAATTGGGGGAGAAGGTATTGTTGTGCATAATTGTATGTGTGCTCTACTACCAGCTATACTGTGCCCGTTGACTTGTGAGTCTATACATGCAATCGCCTGATATGCGATTCCCAGCGCGTACGTACTTTAGAATGGCTGTATCGAGAGTAACCTACAAGTACAAAGACTTGAGCCCCTCCAATTCTTCAATCACCTTGTTGATCTGGTCCGGCTTTTCTAGCACCATGACGCTCTCAACAACATCGGCGACTCGTTCGTGCCAGAGAGCCTCTTCATCTACTTCTTCAACACCGTCATTGTTACCGTCACCATCGTCGTCGCAAAGTGACCCCGTATACGAAGTCAAACCCGAGTACACACCGTCGCTGATTTGAACAGGCGCCCCGGGAGACGGAAACCCAAATGGCAGCGTCGGCTGCGTACTCAGCGTTGAGTTAGTAGTCGGCGATCTCAGCGTAAGCGGCAACGGACGATCAGGTGCTATATATTTATTTCTCATCAGTACATATTGTGCAGAAAGCCATGCGTGATAGAAGGCTACCAAGCACATGGTATGAGATGGTAAAGGGAGACGTACTGTTTGGTGGGTAAACCCTAAGCTCCGACGCTATCGACGCCAGCGACGTCGAGCGCTGTGCCGCCTGACTCATGGCGCGCTGCCGTTCGACACGCAGGATTGGCGGAAGCGCATCGATGCGCGGGAAGACGGAGAAATCGCCTTTACTACCACTGCGCATCGAGCTAGTGGTGACGCTCAAGTTGCTGCGCGAGGCTCGTTCTTGCAGCGCGATGCGGGCTTCTCTGTACACCATATGCGTTAGTTTCGGCAATTGACTAGAGTATTTGCAGCGCTCTGTTTGGTCGAGGTTTCGGGCAGACAGAGAGAGGCAAATGTGGGTGCGTGAGAGGTTCAGAGAGTCCCGAGGAATCTTCTGTGACACCAGGTTGTGCCTGGGTCACGCAGATTCCGGATTCCTGGGCTCTTGCGTAGGCATAGGTGGGTGAGGGGTTTGGCATACATGGGGCGTTGGGTGAATACTTCTTGCATCAATGTGCGGAGGTGTGGGTTGGTGATACGTGCGAGGTTGTAGCCCTGTTATCAAACAGTGCATATGTTAGCGTTGTGTGTTTCTTAGTGAAAAATTGATGGAATTGGGGAGGATTTGATAGATACGTGGTCGAGGCGCAGCTCGCGGATGTGCAGACTGGCTTCTTCGTAGTTCTTGCTACTTTCGTTGATCCAGTAGCTGAAGAGGGAGAGGTTGACCTCGGCGACAGTCTCGTCGTAGATCTCTTGGGCGATGCGGCGGACTTCCTCGTGTGAGAAGTTGACGCGGAGGGATTCGAATCTTTGGTGCTTGTGGACACGGCCGCGGTCTGAGAGATTGTTGTTTCTCTCACTTGCTTCTTCGGTCACCGAGTGGTCATCATGAAGTGTGTCGATGTCTTCCTCGTTGGAAGTGACGAATTCCTCCGCGAAAGCAGCAAACTGTTCAGGAGACAGTGCTTGAAGCTGTCCACGGTCTTTGGAGGTTTCGACCTCTTCTGCGGCTAGTTTAGTTCAGATCATTCAGGTTGTAGAAGCCACTTACTTTGTTGACCGAAGTCTTCTGTAGTTTCCTCGCACAGAGTCTCATCATCCAACTGAGGACGCTCACCCATGTCGGTGGCGTCATTGTCCTCATGCTCAGAGCTCCAAACAATCGATAGCTGGCTGCCACTATAGACGCCGCTATTGTCGCGCTTCTTGCGCCTGAAAAGACTCGAAAGCGACCTCGCACTGCTCTTGCGAGCCGGTCGACGAAGTTCTGAGCTACTATCGCCAACACTCTCTCTCACATCATGTCTCTCAAGGGTGGCTGCGGGGGGGTTTTGATGGATACCTTGTTTTGAGTCGTCTAACTGGCCCAAAGCGCTGGCACTACGTCTGGCGAGAACATGGTCGCCGCCAATCCTGCTTGGAGTTGGAAATGTGGGAAATCCATGGTGTAGATGTATAACGATTCGCTGCTTTACTGCTGTACAGTGCCACGTAGTGGTGGGTTGAATTTCAAAGAAAACGTGTTGTGTGTGTTTTATGTTGGCAGTGTGAATTTTGGAGTAAAAGACGTGGTGATAAATGAGCCGTGAAGTGGTGCACTGACATTCAAGGTGAAGGTGAGATACCCGCGGTGAGGTCTGCTATCTCGGGGATAAATCACTCAAAAGAGCCAATTTGAAGGCTATAGAGGCACGAAGAAAGATAAAGTGCTCTCATTTCGTTTGTATTATGGAACCAAGAGGCGCTGCTTCAGTCAGGCAGATATCCCTTCAAGAATCTGAGTGTGATCACTGTACGATATCTGACTGAGGTGTTTTAACGCAACCCTCGCAACATCTAATCTGCCCCTATTTAATATGTTAGCAACAAAGGCGAGGAAATAGGAATTGGTTTTGTTATACTCGAGTAGGTGATGGGGCAATACAAAGCAATTTCACTGGCGACGCTTGGGTCGATTCAAGCTCGCAAAAATCGTGGTCCATCGGTTTTGGTAGACAACTCACCGTGACGCAACATGAGGGGCTGTTTCTATGATACACATACAGCAATATTTCACTCTGATTGATCTTGAGTGTTCTGTAAAACCAAACAGTTTTCAAATATCACAAGTAGTACGTGGGGCTCCAGTCAATGTAGCTAGCTTCTTGGATGTGGCACTTTTCGACTTTACCACATTCATACACCAGACTTCAGGTTCCACATTGGTACCGAAAAAGCAGCCGAAATAGTCGCGGCAGTTGGACTACACATGCCAGTGTTTTGCTTAACGCCATCATCAACTATATTGACGTCGCTGATGGGTGCGTCTTTTTCGTTCCAATCAATCGAGTTCATGACATTCACAAGACCAGGGAGGGAAAAAGACAATAAACGTAGCCAAGGTGATAGGTGAGGAGACAGTGGTAGGAGTTGGAGGATATCAAATCTAGACCGAAGCCATCACACGGTCAGTTCCCATGTGAGTGATCATATCGAACTGGTCTGGGCGACGACAGGCAGCGTACTGTGATCCCACTGGCGACCCACCGATTGAAAAGAAGGTAGCAGAGAAGACAGCCGAGTCTACTCAACGACTGCCTACGTATATTCAATCTGCTGATTGCCTACACAGAGTGTGGGTGTTGACACATGTTTCACTCATCCTCCCCAGAGTAGGTCTACCGGAAGTCAAAAAGACAGCTACATCAAGAAAACAGGTTTCTCAATAGGAATTCCCCAAGCACATTGGCATTCGGAAGAGGTGAGTGATGCCTAGCGGAAGGAATGTTGCAGTAGAGCAACGGGCCGATTAGGTCGGCATACGTACTACCAGTGTGAGTGGATTCGACAAAGCATGTGTAAGAGAGTGTCGATCTTGCAATCGTCAGGCATATGATACCGAGTGTTTGACCATTTCAAGACAGCATTGAAGAGGAAGTGGCGTGATGCTTACAGGTGACCGTGGAGAATGGGGAGGGCTCGACGTGGTTCATGTATGTATGAGGCATAGCTGGGTAGCCAGGCCTTCCCGACCTGGCGACCAGCACATAGTTGGCCTGGTCCACTGCGGGCAACGCCCACGGCCAAGCTTCTCCCGCAACCGTTTGGCTCTGGGCTTTGTCTCGGCGATCTCCATCTTACTTTGCTTCCGGGCCTTGTTGGCCAGGGCGTGCAGTGACGGCGTTGCTATTAAACACCCGAAGCGCTACTTGAGGGAGCAACAACGCATCGCTTACGTGCCCCTCAGGCATGCCCTTCGGCTTAATTAAAAGTATACCGAGTGCGCTTACTGTGCCTGCAATGGGTATGACATTTGGAAGGCTGCGCCAGTAGTTGCAGAGATCAACTCGCACGGCGCTTATGGACGTTGCACAAGACGACACAAACGTCTCCAACCGCGGGCAGGATCAACCATACCCACTTTTCCACAGCATCGATATTGCGGCGCAGGCCCCAACTCTAGGCACTGCCCTTTGATAGTATTAGGTCACAATGAGGGACGCAGATGTATCCCGGCTCGACTTCGTGACCACTCACGCGACCAGGACCAGCCCTGATCAGCGAACTCATGATCCTAGCTTCAAACGGAGCGTCTCGGCTACAAGAAGCAGAATACGCGGGATGACGGCGAGCCACGTTTGAATATGGCCATATTTTCTTTAGGGTTCGAGTGCGAGGCCAATGGCGGTTGGGTACATGACAGAACGGATAGCCGCAGTGGCGAGCGGGACGTGGTTGTGGGCTGAAGAGGTGCCTTGGGGAGCTGATTCGCCAGGCCCTGCAGCGAATGGGGCTGTGAGACGCTGCCTTTTGACCCCAGACGACGACAGCAGATCTCAGCCGTCCAAACGACGGCAGGATTGTTGGCCCACCCCCCGGTTCCCCATTGACGGCCGTGCAAATTCCGCAGGCGCTGTCCATATGAAAATTGCGGCGAGGTCGATGCAGCTGGGCCACTGCTGTCCAATTGAAAGGCGACATTGGCGCCTCTGGGTGTTGGCCTGCCCATCTATTCCCAACTCGGCCATACACCCAACGTCCTCCATCCTCCACAAGCTTTCCACGCCATGTACCGACGGCGGGGCTATTACAGGCGGCTCTCGAAACTTTGAATCGCGTTCAAGCGCACGCCGTAGCTTAACGTCGCCACTAGCATGGCATGATTATTCTGCCATACTCGAACAGCTCTAATGGGTGTAGTACGCACCGTCACGCCGTCCATGACGCGAGTGTGGTGCATTCATATAGCAAAAGTGTAGCCTGCAGGCCCTCAGGTGGTACCGGTTCCCAGTCCTCTGTTATCGTCATGTTTTGTTGTGCGGCGCAGTCTCTCTTCTCCTATCCTGCTTGACTTTACCCACTTGACCGGAACCAAGGCTGTGCCGCAATACTATTCCTTCGCTGCTTGCTTATGCACTCGGGTGCTGCCTTCTTTTACACATCCTTCGCCGCCGCCATTGCCGTACTTTCTTTTCGTGTCGCGCGTCTCATCAGACGGCATCATTACGCCTCTGCACATTTCAGGCCAACGTCCACAGAAAAGCTTGTCACATACTTGGCACGATAACCCTTCCATAGACATGGCTACGCTTTCCGTGCCGTCCCCTGACATGTCCCCGGCCTCATTGGGCAACACTGTTCACAGACCACTATCCACACATGGCCTGCCAAAGCCGCCGCGGACCATGTCACCGGAACGACCACATCGTTTTTCAGCAAAGAGTTTCCCTCCTCCCACCCTCGCTCACACTCCTATGACACCAGACATGTCAGGTCCAATGTCTCCACCACCAATGTCGGCCAAGTCCTTTGGCACCTTTATCGATTCAGAACCATCGACCCCAGCCTATTCACCGAGGATCGGCACTGAATGGAACAACTCTTCAGTACTCCTTGTTCGGCCCACATCTTCGTCTTCCGAGCCCGCCAGTCCTGGAGAGCCGGTATGGCGCATGCTCAAACCATTGCCAGTCAAGGCACCACCCAAGCCGAAGCAAAAGCCCACCTCTGTTGTATCTCAGTCAATGGCATCAGCCGTCGGTACCAAGGAGGTTTCCTCCAACATGTCTCTATACTCACATCACACCAAAGAGGCGAGGCACATCAGCCGGCCGACCGAGTTCAAATTAGCAGATCTGTCTCAACAAAACTACCCTCCAAAGTGCGAAGATATCGAACTGAGTGCAGACGAGAAGCCAGGTGAACAAAACGGCGGCACCCCCACATCAGCGGCCTTTGGGAGGCTAGCTTCCAAGATGAAGTTGATGCTCCGACGAAAGAACAATGATACGAAAAAGAAAGAGAAGAAGCAAAGGCACTACGAAGAGGTGGACCGCATTGAAGATAAGCACTGGACCGAGATGTGAGCTGCCTAGCTATCGTCAAACGCAGCCCGTCCATCGTCAGATATTCTTATCGTCGGTACACAAACTGGAACACTGGAGAGATTGGCAACACATTGTATGGCATGTTATGATAGAACGAGACTGATACACCACCGACTGAACACAGGGAGGAATATTTTCAACGCTTTTTTGGATCGCAAGGACAGGCCGCCTTTTGTTTCTGATTCGATAATCTTGTTGTTGATCGTTGTCACTAATTTCATTGGCGTCTTTGGCAGGTGTTTGTCCGCGTTTTGATTTTGGGAAGGGGAATTTCAAGTACTTTGTTTTTTATCGCGAGTTACACAACCCAGTAACGACGATACCCAATCCTTTACAAAGAGTCTATCAATCAACTATATTATGCTTCTTAGAATTTCCAACCCACTTTCTGTATGCTGGAACATGAACATCTGCTCACAGAAGATCTTACCTATTCCGAGGGCACAGGGCATTGTTCAAATGTCCGGGTCCTTCTGCAGGGCCTCATTTAGACCCGTATTTCTAGTTGATGCCCTGTGTCGCTCAACCGTCTTACGGGCGCTACCCGGCCGCTTCACGTGAGTGGGCGATCGGCATGGACGCACAGACCACACATTCTGATCTACAGTACCACAGGAAGTTTCCAGCATCAAATCTGCCCAAGTCGCTAATCAGCAAAATAACCACCATGATACCAAGACAATGGGGGAGGGCAGCTTGCCTCAACTCTGCGACACAAACCCAGTTGGCTAGACGATTATCCACGTTCACAGCGGGAGGAAGCATAATTCGGCCACGTACAGAGCCTCTGAGACGCGCTCGACACAGTGCAACATCACGTGCCTTTTCACAGACATGGCAATTTCACAAACGGCTTGAGTATCTCAGAGCACAGAGTACACTGCAAAATGTCCAGACAGATCGCCAGCAAATACCACATCCATCCAACACCCTCCTTCAATCACGGTTCCCCACAAAGACCGTCATCGCTCTCGTTCTCATCGGCGGCCTGGCATACTACCTCGTCGACATAGTCGATCCCTCCTGGACAGATGATGTGTACGCGGCATTTTCCTCGGGCGACGACTCGAGTTCACTAACGACACCGCTGCATTTCTACCGCAACCGCACCGAAGTTCAACACACACTTGACTACCACATCCCGGATGCCAGCGCGCCGCTCAAAGATCCCACCGTAGCAAAGTTCCTGTCTGATCAATTCGAAAAACTATGTTTCGGATGGATGATGACCGAAGACGATGCGCGCAAGGGCGTCGAAGGCATGGAGGACGTCCAGATGCCTATTACCCACGGCTGCAGGTTCCGAAGCAACGAGCCGTGTGAAGATTTCTTCGCGCTGGGAACGAGTCCCGGACCTGGAGAGAAGCCATGGAATTACTGGACTGTACTCGATGGACACGCAGGACGCCACACGGCCTTTTATCTACAGTGGTCTTTGATCCCCATGGTGTCGTCTGCTCTCTGTGCCCTACCGCGCACAGCATCTAGCCCAGAGATTGAAAACACAATCAAAAACGCCTTCCTATCAGCCGATCGATCGATCATGGACCGCGCAAAAACAGCAGCAAACTGGTACCCCGCCGCAAACGCAGCCGCAATCGCCGCCCTCACCCCCGCCTTCTCAGGCTCCTGCGCTTTGCTAGCCGCCTTCGACGCATCCACTTCGACCCTCCGCGTAGCCTGCACCGGCGACTCGCGCGCCGTCCTCGGCCGCTGGGACCCCTCCACCTCCTCCTACACAGCCATCCCCCTTTCCGTAGACCAAACTGGCTTCAACGCCGCAGAAGTAGAACGGTTAACCCGCGAGCACCCGGACGAACCCTCCATCATCGACCCGAAAACCGGGCGCCTCATGGGCATAGCAGTGACGCGTGCATTTGGCGACCACCGCTGGAAATGGGACAACGACCTCATCAAAGCATGCCAACACAAGTTCTGGGGCACCGCCCCGCGACCAGGCTCAAAGACCCCTCCGTACATGACTGCCGAACCCGAAGTCACCGAAACGCAAATCGTACGCTGCGAACCAGACGACTACAAGTCATCTTCTCCAGCCACCACAAAGGGAAAATCCGACTTCCTCATCCTCGCCTCCAACGGCCTCTGGGACAGAATCTCCTCGGACCACGCCGTCGAATGCGTTCAGCGCTACCTCGAAGCCCGCGCCCGCGGCAAAGGCTCAGTCGCTTCTGACCCCCACTTGAAAGCTAACCCCCCCAACTTCTCCTCCATCTCTACGCTCTCCGCTCAAAACCCCTTTTCGCCCTTCCACCCCACAACAGGAGCAATGCAGCAGCAACAGCAGTCTTCTGGAGGCGGATCCCTCGAACCGGGCGTAACGTGCGACCCCGAGCAAGGTCAGGATGTAGATTGGAAAGCTACACCCGAGTATTTTGCAATCGAGGATGAAAACGCGGCGGTTTGCCTAGCGAGGAATGCAATGGGTGGCACGCGGCGAGCACTTTTTCTAGGCATACTAGCGGGGCCGGAGCCGTTGAGTCGGAATGCGGTGGATGATACGACGATTATGGTTGTGTTTTTTGATCGCTTGGGGGAAAAGGGGAAGGAGGGTGCTGTGAAGGGTGTGGATGAGGCGGGGGAGAAGAAGAAGAAGAGGTGGTGGTGGCCTTTGTGAAAAAAAAGGGGGGGGGGGGTTTGAAATGTCACGATTGAGGACGAATCGCTTGGAGACAAATCTCACGGATTGAAGTAAGGACAAAAAAAAAGAAAGAAAGGGGGGAAGAACATCATGATCATCTGGCATTGGTGTATTGATAAGGCGTAGTAAGTTTAATACACGTTGAAATCTCCCTCCCCGTCCCAATGAATACAAAAAAAAAGACTAGAAAGACCCGGGGGCCCCCCGTTTGCCAAAAGTCACCACCATAAAAAAGCCTATGAGCGGCATTTTGTTAGCAAAGATAACCTCGCCCTAACCCTTGTTCACAAGTGTATTCCCCGGAAGCTTTAGCAAAGAGTAGTGATGTTGCCTGTTTCCTCTGCCCTGACCCTTGCCCGGGCCTTCACTCTCGCCCAAAACGCCACAAAAGCCCATCCAGTCCATGCAAATACCAATAGCGATAATGTGAAAAAGAAAATCCACTTCTCTTCGACGGGGACGAGCGTGTGTGTTTGGATACGTCTCTCGGGCATCGTGGTACCATTGTTTGGGGTTGTAATTTCTGCATATCTTGTTTTGCTTCTTCATGTTGCACTGGTATCGTAGTTCGATTTGTGCGGCATGGTGGAGGGAGGTGAGGACTCCACCTCATGCAAGCCACATGCCCTGTTTCCGTCCATACGCTTGGTGCCGCCGAAACCCATGGACTTGACAAAATGGGAGCCAGTACACATCTATTGCAGGAAATCCTTCCGTACATTGATGAAGGAGCCGGGTCCACCATCATCTGCTAACTCCGTAACAAGAGCCTCGGCTTGCTGAACCAGGCGCTCCAAAGCAGCTGATGAGGATTTACCTAGAGAGACTGAAATCTGTTAGCACGTCATGTGCGTGAGCGAAGGGTATCCGGTGTTGAGAGTCCTTGAGCTCTCTGTAGACCATATTTAAAGAAAACTTAAACATACCTAGTATCGCGCTGTTGAGCTCTTCAGCTACCGGTGCACGACCAGCAACATCCAATAACGGCGCTAGCATGCTCTCACGTGCATCAGGGTAAGCAATGAGAGCAAATGTGTCTTCGAGTGCTCTCTTCACTTCGCGTCTTGGATCGTTGGCAAACTCAGCTTTGAGCTCCATACCATAGGCAATCGTCTCGTCTAACGCTCGCGCACTCTTGGCTTCTTTATCCTCCATATCATCTTCGTCCTCGTCTTCAAGTTCATCGTCCTGGTCCTTGTTGTCCCAACTGGGTGGCGGATTGTGTACGCCCAACTGCTCGTCCAGCTCCATTTCAAAATCATATTCCTCAGTAGTTGAGCGTTTTGAGGGTGCTGTCGGCGTGGCATGGCATTGCGCATTGAGCTCGCCGCACCGCCGTATCATCTCGATAAATTTTCGGCAACGGAGTTTAAAGTAAATATTCTCGTTGTCGCGGAGAACAAGAGGGTAATATGCAGATGTATGCTTAAGTGCCTTGTCAATATCGCCCTCAAGGATAGCAGTACGGATTTCTGTACCATGTTAGCATACTTTTAGTAGTCCTTGAATCGGGTCGAACTCACTTTGCCTATTCAGCGCATCCAAATCTTCAACGGCTGCCCGGTAGGGAAGATCTGCATCTTCGTCATTCGCAAGTGCTTTCGCCTCTTCCAGGATCTCAGCTGAAAACGCCCGAGCAGTCTCAACGTAGCCGTCATGAGCTAGATATTGTCCGACTAGCTGATGTATCAGGGCATCCTCACCCCCGGCAGCGCTTGATTCAACTTTTGTTCGTGCAATTTCTGCTTGTATGGCAGCTTTCTCGTCTTGGACCATCTTATCGATATCAAAGGCAAAAGGTTCCTGACCAAAGTTTACACGAACCGTCTCGCCAGGCTTCTTCATGCCTACTGTAGGATAGTACGGCATGTTGGGTTTCAGATCCTTAAAAGCAACACCTGAAAATGTGAGTAGTGCATTTAATCATTTCAAGCTCCGTACTTACCCAGCATGTGCCCATTCTTGGTGAAAAAGGCAGTATTGGTCCGAAAGTTGATGCCGCATCCAATAACGTCCAATGTGCCAAATTTTGGTCCGTAATTCTTTCCAGAAGTAGTATTGCTAAACACTTGTCCATCATCGCCATGGTAAGCATACGAATCCGGCTCCCAACCCGGTATTCTGCTCAAGGCGACCTTGGCGCCCGAGAATCCTACCCCAATCATCCTCCTACAGAGTGTGTTAGTATGCGCATTATCAAGCTTCAGGTCTACATACCCGTCTTTACCCTTGGAAACGACTGTGATTTCGTAGTAATAGATTCCACACTGCCTTGGCATAGGGAAATCTGCCCGGACCGCCGCGGCTTCGTCGTGAGTCTTCTGCGTGCCTGCGAACTTTGCCATTCTACCACCGTCCTCAAGTTCCAGCTGACTAAACCGGTCGCTGTCGTTCCATCTTGTTGGCCAGGGCGCTACAGGCTCGTCTATAAGCACAGGCGCACGCTCAATGACCTCGTGCGTAAGACCCCGGTGTGAAGGTGCCATCTTGTGGAGGTTGACACTACTCGAACTCGTCGATAGCGACCCTGCGTTGGACGAGTGGGTTGACTTGTGTTCGCGCTGTGCTGCCAGCTTCGCCTTGTGCACCTCTTCCAGCTTCTCCGCATGCTTGGATCCCCGCAGGTACGACGGCACGAAGAACGGAGGTACTTCTTGAGCCGGCGCTCCCATCGAGTTCCAGTGGCCAGACTGGCTCGAATATGAGGGTAGTAGTCCGCCGCCCCTTCCAAGACTTGTAGACATATGGCCGTCGGCGTCGATGGAGCGAGAGAGGCGGTTCGGGTTGGTGGTCAAGGTGTTGCCGCCGAGGTGAGAAAAAGGTGTGGATCGAGAAGGTTGGTGGAATGAGCTGCCGCTGCTCCCTGCCGACCCAGCGGCGACCCTTGCCCAACTCTCCCTACGAGCATTCATCATTGCGAGGGTGAGGGTGACGTGGGTTGTGGCTGCGGACGTGTTCGCAGTGACGTATGGAAGCGATCGCAAGAGGAGAACACGCCCTGTTCGCGAATCGGGATGGTCGGACAGGTGGTTGGAGTCGCTACAGAGCTTGGAAGCGAGAAAAGACACTTAGGACGCGTAAGGAAGGACGCCGGGTAGATGAGGAGGTACTGTGCTGGCAAGTGCAGTCGCCAGACGGTCAGGGTAAGAATCAGCGACACCCAGGCTCCTGTGCAACTACGGTCACAAATACATTCATGGTTCCATGCAAAGAGTATGCTGCTACAGGCAAAGAGTGCTTGCGCGAGGGTACAGTTCAAGTCGAAGGTCAAGGATGGTTCATGAGGTTTAGATGCAGCCGAGCTATCGGGGACCATCCCCGCAGTCCGCGGGTAGATAACGCCATTACTGCGGTCACGCTCGCCAGTATCTGGCAAGTCATTTCCGCCGACCAATTTTTCTCTCTTTCCTTTCTCTCTGTACGGTAATCAGTGGAAAGGGCTTGATTGTGAACTATATGAAGATGCAATAATCCCATTTCTAGAATATGCATGAAGGGGGGACACTAGATGCATGGTAACCAAGTTACTAATCCACTCCATCAGGGGCTGGTCAACAATGGGTATATAATAGACAATAATATTTGGGCCTTTCGATGCCCCGTGATGATAGGCCAAAGCAATGCCTTTTTCACTGCTTCGTGTGCGCTCTTCTATCCAGTACAAATGTAGTCGCAATTGGAATCCCCGGCTCATGCGCCTTGCTTCACCCCTGCTTTACACAAGCCAGATAATAACCCCATAGAAAAAAAACGCCTTTTAGATAGGCATTCAATGCCATCCATGAACGCCCAACATGGTCAGAAGATACAAAGGGAATACGTAGAAAAACAAGCAGCAGAAATCGAGAGCGATGCACAACTGCGGTACAGGCAGGGTGCATCATATAGTTGACAAAGGAGAGAGATGACGAATGTTCAAGCGGCAATGGGCGCCGGTGAGCTGGCAATGCCATTCATGGGCGTTTGTACTGATGCACTGTCGCCATTGAGCCCACTCTTGTCGCTGATTGCGCTGCTCTCGTCCTTTAGCTTAGAGTCACTGGTGCCGGTGCTGTCGCTCTTGACGTCGTCGGCAAAGGCGGAGGCTCGACCGGGTTGATATGTAGGAACCTGCCAGAGAACGCCGGTGAAGCTGCGAACCTGGAAGCCCTTCTTCTCCCAGCGACGGCACTTTGCGCCTGACCTGTCAAGGGCGCGAAGGCGCTCGTTGATGGCTCCGAGGTTTGCCTTTGGGCCTGCCTTGTTAATGGTCGGGGTTGCGGCAAAGGATGGCTTGGAGTTTGGATCGTTGATGATATCGCCCATCTTCTTCCTCTTTGGACCAGGCTTGGCCTTGGGCTGCTTTGGAGTTCCGGCGTTGGAGCCAGCCTCCATCTGAGCAGCAGTTCGCTTGGTGCCGGGCTTTGGCCCCTTCCTCTTGGCAGTGGGAGGAGCAAGCGACGACGGGGTGCTGGCGTCGTTCATGATGAGAGTATCGTCGGCGGGCGTGTCGTCAGCAGGCGCAGACTCGACGATTTGCGGCGTGGGCGTTGATGGAGAAGGCTTTGCGAGGTCGCTGGGCGCCGGCGTGGGCGGGCGGGCGAACCTGGTTAGAGAGTCTGCTGGCAACTTGAGAGTGACGACGAGAGTCTTTGGAGATTTCGTGGTCATGTTCGCGTGCAGGCGACGCGGCGATGATGATGAATCGAGATGGGGTTGGGCAGACGCAGGCAGGCTGGCAGGTGTTGGTGTGGCAGTCTGGTGCAGCGGTGAGTGGAGATGAGGGCGGCTCCGCGTGTCAGCGTGCTTGCTGGTGCAGAGGAGCGTCGTGGTGGCTAGGCGGGCAAGTGCGTGCGTGCAGCGGTTGAGCGTGTGGGTGGGAGTCGTGAAGAAGCAGACGAGGTGGGCTGGTGCAAAGAGGGTGGCACGAGATGGAGTGGAGGATGGTGGAGAGGGAGGGTGCGCGATGAGGGTTGCCGCTCAGGCAAAGAAAGGGC